CCCGCGGGCCTCCACCCCCCCGGGGGCCCAGACGGCCTCTAGTCTCTCCCCGTCACCGAGCGCGATCCTAGACGTATCCCTTTCCTTTGAAACTACCGAACCCGCGGAGCTTCAACCACTCCAGGGCCAATTACCGAGCTGAACCCGCGGAGCTTCAACAACTCTGGGGTCAATTATCGGAGTCCTCTAGCGAGGACTTAAGCGGAGCCATGCCTGGAAAACTGTCCAGCCTACACCACGACCATCTTTGGTGTAAGTAAACAATCTTTTAATCAACCATTACGCGTCCATAACTAATTCTAGCTCGCCACCGGTCTTCTTCGACCCCATGTGCCCAGGCTGCTGGCCACAGCCTGTGTGCACAAAGATGGGTTCGCATACCGCTCCTAGCCCACACATGGCCGCATGGATGGGATCGGGAGGCGGCCTGCACACTTCCCAGGTACAAAAGAGCCTGCTACTTAGGTAGCCAAGAGTGGGATTTAATAATACATCTCAGTTCTGCATTGTGTTGCAAATAGTAATCACACACTTTCGGTCAATAGTGCTGAAATACTTTACTTTATATAAACTCTTCCAGCTCTCCCAATCCAGAAACCTCATCTCTGTCTTTTGGGTTTGACAAAAATCACACTCAACTGTGCCATGCCCCTACCCCCCATCCATATCAGCAAGTTAATACAGGCACTAGGTTATTCACTACTGTAGCCGTATCTGATACGATAGAGGCAGGGACGTGTAGTATAGTGTCATTAGGTTACTGAAAGCATCACAGCCTTTCTTGCCTAATGTAGCCCTTTCAGGACTTCATACAATCAGTGAACATGTGACAGCATAGATGTTTGTGGTATCATTTGGGAGAGAACCTTTTAGGAGAAAAGAATTGCTTAGAACTACTCCTTTGGGTTTTCTTGAGAAAGGAATTGGAGTAGTTAGGATTTTAAATAAGTTAACGAACTCCTGCTTACTGTCAAATGTGGCTTAAACCTTTAAAAAATATTTCATTTTTATCTATGGCTAGATGGAGATCTAATGATACAAGCCATACAATTTCAGTTCTGCATCCAAATGTAAAACCCAATCTGACCAGATTCGAAGAAACCTGAGAAATCATCTTGTCATACCACAATCTTCTTGGTATCCAGGATACGTCATGGGTTGTCAATCAATAGTTAGTCAGACTGTCTCTGTCGAGAGTTGTTTCCTCAAAGTGATCTCACAGTTTCTTTAAGGGACATTGAAACCATAACCCGCCATCCTCCTACAAGGGAATGTTTAAAATTATGGCACACTTTGAATCCAGCACTTCCTACCTGGCTTGCACCAGCCAGGAAGGACTGGTTCCTGTGAATCTGTGTGAATCTGATTCACAGGTTATAGCAGGAATCTATGCCAGCACCTCCGTAACTTCAGTGAGTAGTACTGTACTGAAGAACAAGCAAGAAGATGCAGTGTTTGTCCTCTTGAGAATACTGTACTGTTTCCATGGCAGTAGACAGCTCAGTCTGAATCTGGGCAATTTTGTCTGCAGAGTAACATGAACAAAAATTCAAAGAGAAAAACTTGACTGTAACTGAATGGAAGCAGCCAAAATTATTCAAGCCTGCATACACTGAAACTCGTTCCACTATATGGGATTTTGTAGATGCTGTGAAGAACCCTTTTTCTGCTTTCTGCACAGCCATGGCTTATGATCTTACACCTGTGCATCTGAGTCAGTGAGACTCTTCACAAGACTTCTGCCACCAGCAAATGGTGCTTCTCTTCTCTTGCTTCATTTATTGGAGGGTCATCTGTAAACCATAGTTACTTGTGCAGATGAAGAAAAAAACTGGCGGAAAGGGCAATAAAGGTATCTCTTACTTTCTTTAGCGGTAGTAGAAAACGGAAAATTATTACAGTGTTACCTAGATAGAACTGATAGAACAACCCTTTCCCTCAGAGGAGCCTTGTACAATCAACTTCATAAGGTGGACAGTTCAAGTGGGTCAGCTGGGATAAGCACGTCCCAATGTCAGAACAAAGGAAATTATGAAAATCCCTGGAGGCATGTGGAACTTCCTACGTCACTCAGAGAGTGAGAAGATCGTGTCCTAATTCTTTTTGCCTGTGTTCAGGAATGTTAACAATGTATTTTGAATTTTTTTTAAAACCTTTTCAGCTAACTCATCATTCTGGGACACATACATAAGGTTAACATTGTTTTTACCATCAGATCCCATACCATCTGCATTAGATGAAACAGTAGAATGATAGGTGGCATAATTATTAAAAATAAAATACAGAGTTAACCATTTGTGTTCTTCTCTAGGAGCAAAATTATATCAACTTAAGTAGGGATTTAAACAAGGCCTTGGATATTAAAGTTCTTTTTAAGGGTTTGGACATATGACCAATTCACTCCAGGATAAAAGGAAGTAGGGATTTATGCTATGTCACTTGTTCAGTTATAACTCTGGCGTGCATACTCTTACCTTTGGATAATGGAAGCTGAACTGTGAATGTTATAGTCCTGTCAGTGAAAGATGGGTAAATTACTAAGGCATAGCTTCTACCTACCTCAGGTAAGTGTGTGTACACAGGTAGTTTTAGCATGGAACAACTGACGAACAGTAAAGTCTCAATCTGTTTTACCATGTAGTGAATTATTTGCATGTCCATAACCTCAGTTTCTTTATGGGGAACTCATTGGCAGTCCATAAAGAGGGCACAGAAACTGGATGCTTCCTTGAAGACTTACTAAACAAACTGACTTAGGGTCTATGTCTATGGATGTCCAGAATTTGGAAATTCATGATCTAGACATTGCTCTTTTTTTTTAGCAGACTGTGGTACTAATAACTAATAAGCTATCTTCAGTTCTGACTGCTGTGTCCACTCGAACCACCCTCTGTTTTGCTCAAAGGAGGATATTATGTAACTTTAGCCATTGTCTTTGCTATCTCTATTACAGCGATGCTTCAGGATCCAGCTGAGATTAGGACATATTTAGAAGTGGTCCATACCTCAAAGGCTTCAGTTAAAATGAAAAAGGAGGACAAAGAATGGGAAGGTAACAGGTACTGTGCAGAAAGGCTGCAGGTATCTGTGAAGTTTCACAAATTTCCCATCCTGTCACGTGGCCAGTCTAGCTATAGTGCTGGTTAGACTCTTGGGATCACTCAGGATTCCTCTCTCAGAACAGAACCACCCGATCCAAACCTATCCTCACCTGAGTGTCAGAAGGGGAATTGGAAGACCAGTCTTGCACTCAAGCTCTGATTCGGGACTTGGGGACCTTATTTAGCTGATTTCTCAGTCCTTCATGATATCAGAGCATACTTGACTTGATCTGAGGTATCTTTGTATAGTACTCTTGCTATTGAAACTGCTGCCAAGTATTCAGCCTGTACATTTACACAGCAATACTCTAGACCTGGCTTCAAAATTGGATGCAGGCGAGTACTGTACTTGCTGTTTAATTAGTCTTCTCCAACCTCTTTAGACTCATTAGGGCATGTCAGTCCCTCAGAAGTGGGACTCTGTACTGACACCACGTGAAGGAGTAAGAAAAATGGCTGACTTTAAACTGGAGTTGAAGTATATTGTCAGGACAGATCAAAACTTAATTCCCACTATTTCAGAATCAGTAATGGATACTAAAAACTCTCAGAAACTGAGGGAGCCTGGCACCATGCCTCCTTATATAGCCTTATATAACCTATATGTAAAGACTATTGAATATTACAAAGGTCTGCACCCCACAAATGTGAATCAGTACTGACAAAATTAGTTGAAGAGATACAGTTATAGGTGAGTAATCTCCGCGGACTATTTGTGGCTTGGTGTAAGTAACCAATGCGAAAGCGGAGAGAGACCTGAAACCCTGAAACAAGGATAATTGGAGGGCCCTAACAAACTACTCAATTGAACTTCAGACTGAAACTAGGATAACTGGTGAGTTCCTGGAAAGGCAATGCCCTGAGCCTTGAAAGAATGAAGGAACAGTGTGATTGTTTTGTGAAAGTTTGAGAAATCAGAAGAGGAATGTAATTTTACAACTGTTGTATGCTTCTGAATTGGCCATAGAATCAGGAAGAGAACCGAGACAAGGAGTATGTTCTGGGACTATATCCTTTCAACAAAGAGTTTGAATTTGCTCAAGGTTCTGGGAAAAATACAAGTGTGAATTTTGTAGTTGAAGTTGGGATATTTTTTGGTAACTGAGTGCTGTGATTCAGAAACATACAAAGCAATACTATATATTAGTATTGTAGCTGTATCATTTCCAACCCCCCTACCTCTTTTTTCTCTTAAAACAAGAACTTAAATGCAAAAAAACCTACAGTACTTTACATTGAAAGGTTGGGAAATGCAAAATATAAAGCTTAACTAATAAATATAGCACATGCTGCGTATTGGATTACTAGGTAGGCTAGTACGATTAGTAGGTTGTGGACTGAGGCTTATCCTTGTTCCTCTGGTGTCATCATCATTTTAAAGGAAACTCCAGCTTTTGCTCCTCCAGTTTCCCTTCTCTTTAAAATGTTTCATGTGGGACTTTTACAGTTTTTATATGATTCACTGAGAGATGTTCAGTTTCCAAAAATGTCACAAAGAACTAAAATTTTAGTGGGGAAATGAAATTGGAATAAATGAATCTGCGAAGTGCCAGGGTTCTGCCACTAAAAACAATTAAATGATTTCACAATGGCTTTTACAGTCTTTTCTAGTCACCCTGTACAGCTCCAGTTACCCAGTTAACATCTGTCTGGGGAAATGTAACAAAAACTTATCTTCATGAATGCTGTCCCTTAGTCAATCCCATTTTGTACATAACTCTCATTCCTAAAGTCAGAAAATATATCTTTCTGTATCTTTATGTAATAAGTAGATTTTCTTATTGGCTTGCTTCTTTCCTATTGATACATTAGTGATTGGTATATTTCAGTCATTTTATGATTCTTGGCAGTTGATTTCTTTTATAACCTAATTTCTCTCTTACATCAGTAACTGAAATAAATTATTCTGGCCTGTTTTGATTAAGATATCCTTTGTGAATCTCTGCTTACGTTACCAGCAGTATTGAACTACTTTCTAATAGATTATGTAGGAGAGAATTATATGTCATTGTAAATATATCAATGACTACTATATTTGCTGTGGCATTCTGTCGCACCTGGAGCTTCAGGTGGTGATAGTGGCTAGGAACACTTTTTCCACTGTGAAGAATTAATGTTTCTAGTTTTTCCCCCCCAGCAATGAAATCAGAGTTTTAAAAAGTAAGCCAAGAAGAATCTCTGCAAAGTTCTGGGATGCTCCTAGCACATGGTTTTGGGAGGGAGATCCTACAAATAGATTTTGGGTGTGGGATCTTGATGGATCTGTACAAGACCTGATTTCATGCCAGCTTTGTTCCTTGTGTTTCAGTAGCTATTGCTGTCCCACCCAGGATTTCACATGGTGGAAAAGAACTACAGGAATGTAATACACCTCCATTATATTGCTTGTGGGATCTTTATGGGATTAAAGAGGAGACAATGAATGTATTTTCTGGCCTTGCATCCTCTTTCTTGGAGGCTTCTGGCTAGCCCTGCATTTCAGGCACATCCCCAAATGTGCAGGGAGTCCTCTGTAAAAGGAAAGTTTTTAAGTAGGAAGGGGAGAAGATCTGTGTAAGGATCATGCGTGACTGATGCCTCTTGAGTCTGCGGGGGCACCCACAGAAGTTGTCGACGGTGGAGACAGGGCTGGTGAGCACCTGCAGAAGCTGCAGGTGGGGTTGGTGTAGGGGACAGCCCTGTCTGGGAGGCATGTGCTCTCCTGTGGCCCCCTGCCCCCCCCCCCCCCCCCCCCCCTCGCCGC